CATCAAAAGGGTGAGAATGTAATGTCACCAAAAGAGTGCGAATATAATGTCACCGAAAGGTTCAATTGAAACGTCACCAAAAATGTACGGATGTAACGTTTCTGAAGGAGTAGGAACATAATATTACTGAAAGGGTGCGACCATATTGAAAAGGTGCAAACGTAATATTATTTTGTAAGTAATAATAAACTTATTTCATCACTCCTCAGAATTTGTTGATATGATTATGGATATTATAAAGCTGAAAAACGGGAAACAAACTTACATGTCAAAATTATCCACAAGTTTGTTTAATTTTTTTTGTACCATATACCACATACATAAGATATTATTTAATTATTACCTTTTACAGATGCAAGAAAATGAATATATAAACTATATTATCAGACTCACAAAGGTATCAATGAATCATTGGTTAGTAATTTTAATGTTTTGTATTTTACGAGAACCAGTAACTGTTTTCATTTATTGGTAAATAGATAAGGAAATAATGGTCAAAAGTAATAATTTACAAAAAACAACTAATGTGTTGCAGTGATTGTAATGCGTTCGTATGACTTGCCGAAAGTACCGAGAAAGATCGATTAACCATAACGTCCATTATTTTCTATTTGTTGTAAACAAGGACACATCAAATTACCCAAGATTCGTGAGCCGCCTATAGTATTGAGAAATATGATATGTGATCCTTCATGTAAGGGTAATATTAGAGTGTTTAATTTTTTATTCTTTATGTGTTCTATGAGTGCTGAAATAGATTGTTCAATACTAAATTCTGGTGGTCCTTTTTGTTTTAAGGTTCATGGTGAAAATTATCACAGTCTTGGATCACTTTTACATGTGGATGTGGAGAAGGCCAAATTTTTACAGTTGTATATATTTGACACATCCAATGAAAAAAACTTCCATGAATCGAGAAGGAAAAGAATCAGTAGATACACAAATATTATCATCACTAATAAAAATGTTTGACGAAAATAGTGTACTAGAAAAAATATTTAGAAAAGTTAGAGATAAATATGAAAGTGGTAAATAATCCGGAAATGAAAATTTATATAGTAGGATATGATAAAAGGAAAAGGTAATATGAATTGCGTTCTACTAATGATATAGATGACTTAATAGTTGGTGATTTTTCTACCACCATGAGCGAAATATATGTTTTATAGTTCAACATTAAACATGAAACGTTCAAAGAATTTTGGCAATCTAATGAAATATAGGATTCAACCATTATGAGATCAATCTATGCTCGTCATATTCATCAATTTTCTCTGGATCTTTTAGAAGGCAAAATATATATCTTCAATGATTCTGAAGTAAGGAAGGCAGGTGGGACATAAAAATTTAGACCATTCTTTAAATATATGGCTGAACGCAAATCCATCAATAACGCCGGTATGAGAAAAAACTGTACAAATAAATTGCGAGAAATCCAGATTCCGTGATTATGATCAACTTATGAAAATTTTAGACAAGATTTATCTTATGATGGTAATGGTATAATACACATAACCAAAAGTTATAAACATATAAATTGTATGCTTATATATAAATTCATATATGCAGATTTTGTTTATGTAATTGTTGAGGAAAAGATAATTTCAGATGATACAATACAATATTGGACAAAGAAGAATAAAATTTGACCTATAATTAAAAGTGTTAGTAACCATAATTTATTATATTTTGTAAACAATAAATTACCACATCCAAATTATACAATAGTTGGTTTAAATGTTTTGTATTGCACATAAACTTAAAATTCATATTAACTTACACATCTATTTCAAAAAAAAAAATTATAGTAACATTGTTTTAAAATAACTAAATTATTGCAATAATAACTATATAACAGGGGAAACAAAGTGTGTATTACTATATGAGACAATATGGTAGATATGTACTAAAAAGAAATGAAAAATAGGAAAACATATGGTGTTACTCTAATAATAACAAGTGTGAATCCCAAAACATATTCAGGTTTATATAAAAAAACATATTTCATATTAATAAATTACTAATAAAATTTTATAATAAAAAATCAAAAACTAACAACATGAATTATATATTACCTTTACATAAACATAACGTCCATTTCCAAAATATATTAAGATGATCCATTAAGTAATATTCATTCTTTCCAAAAAAGTAATTTTAATTAAAATATATAATTTATACTATAAAATTTAAGTAAATTATGGTCAATACAGAACACCTCAAATACAAGTGAAGGGGAAAAATTTAAGAAAAGTAAATAATGACAATGACAAAATTACAGAAATTATAGATTTCGTTGCCAAAGATTTTTTTTGAGGTAGACAAAATATTTCAATTATTTTTTAAAATTAATAAATTAGTAATTATATACAGCCTAAACTTATTGTGCAACTTTGATTGTTAAGAAAAATAATTTATCATTGAAGGAAAAATTATAGAAATTAGTTCAAGAAAATGATGGAATTACATATAATGTAATCTCATTGCGCTAAAATATTTTTGAAAAGAGATAAAAAAAAACTCATTTGCAAAATATGCACAAACCCATATACTGTTGGCATATTGCTGTAACATAGATAAACAAATTTTTGTAATTTTATTACCAACAGATTATTAATACCAAACACATTAAAATATGTATAAATTTGAGATTGTTGTCGAAGATATAACTCGGATTCAGTTTTATCAACCACATTCAACAAAGACATGACCGGTATTTTGGGTAAATCAACAACATGCTTAATTCAATTTCACGTAAGTAACATACTTATAATAATTATTAAACTATGGCGTATAATCAGAAATTATTATTAAAATTATTATATGCAGGAATAGTCATATATATAATGATTTAAGTGATAATGCAGTTATCTCATATTTTTCAGAAAAGCTTATCGGTAAAGTTTTAAATTCAATGTTAAAGTCACATCCTACAATTATCAGTCAAGTTCAGCTGGATTAACGGTTACAAGTACCACAGACAACCAAAGTATTAACGAAGATGTACAATATATTTGGAGTATAATTTGTTTTTTTTTTTGTAAAAACAAATCAGAAAATGATAAAGAAAATTAACAAATTTACATGTCATTTTAATAGCCTTTTTTAAACACCAAATGCTTATATATTAATAAACTCTCTCTTGATGCGGCTATGGCGAACTCTCTGTTGATGCGGCTAGCCTATTATAATAAATAAAGTTGTTGATAATGTGGGCGGGATAGAAGAAACCAATACTTCTAAAAGAAATAAAATAAGGAAAAGAAGAATATCAAATACATCCAAAGATTTAAAATAAAGTGAAGCTGACAATCAAAATGAAAGGACAGAAACAATTGAAGAAGTCAAACGGTCACAAAAAAAAGAATAATTGAAGATAATTACGTTACTTAATTTTGCTATGTTAAATATATAACATTTAAATTTACACATTTTTAAACACAATTATACTTTCACTCTTTTGTTGTATAAGATTTTTTTTCTAAAAAGTTTATTTACATACAAAATAATCAGTTTATTAAATGATTCAAAATGATCGATCAACAAATATAAATTATATAAAGATAACTTTAAAATAAATAAATTAAACATTTTTTCTTCTCTGCGTACACGCGCGGGATGATTTCCTAGTGGTGTTTAATAGTATTGGAAGAAACCAGTAACAATTTGAATTGATGATTGATTTATGATGAAAACGCAAAGTTTATTATGATGTTCATTTGCTAGGTAATTCTTATGCTAATATTATACTAGATTCTTAACATAAGTTTCGACCAAGATCAGGAAGATACACATAGAGAGGCTTT